AAAGATGCATTGTTGTCATGTAAGGACTATGAGTTCATCTCCGCTGCCATATTTGGACTGATTTTTACGGTATAAAAGGACCGCGAATTCGTTCCCCATCCAGCAATTTTTTCAATTTACATCCTCTTGTTGATTCCAGTTGCTAGTATCAAGTCCACCACAGTGCACGTTTAAAATACCGCCGTCTTTAATAAGTTTCGAAGTTAAATTAATAATTTCCTACAGCTTCTTCCTCTTGTGGATCCCGATGATATAATAAATATCGGATCGTCCATAACTAACGAACTCTCTCATGCGCCTTTGTCTTAGACCTCGGTTTGTAACACTGTATTTTCATAGTCAAATAATAACTTTAACTCCTTAAGACTTATAAAATGCGGAAACCAATTTTTTAAATTTCTAATAATGATTTGATGTACTTCCGCTTTGACGTAGTTGGAAAACTTTCGAGACATGTGGCAAATAAAGATGAAACAAATACAATAATAATACTTTCCAAAATAACAAAATAAACTATTATATTCACAAAACTCGTCTAAATTACAGAAAAACGATAATATCATCGACTTCTTACATACAATTTTTTATATAAGCTATAGAGAGATATTTTTTAATTTCGAATGTTTCATACTTTTACATTTTTCTTAAAGAATTATTTACCACGAACTGATCACAGGAATTGCAGTACAGTAATTAAATCAGTGTACAGATATTGACACATAGTAATTAGATCAGTGTACAGAAATTGAAACGCAGTAACTAGATCAGTGTACAGGAATTGAAACACAGCTAGTAGAAAAGGCTCGGTAACTGACATACAGCAATCATGTAATTAATAATGTAACTGACACTTTTCGTCTTTTTAGAGCACAGTAATTTGATTCGTTACATATTTTACGTTCTTTAGATATTCCAGTTATGAAAAAATTCGTACTTATATAATAGACATCACCATATAATTTAAATGTTTTAATAACTGTGATATGGGTAAAGAAAAAGCTATTTAATTTATCAAAAACTTTGGTCATCACATTAAGGGACGGAATAATTGACATTACCCTTTATTTTTATGTGGTGTTCCTAACATACAGAAAGTTAGCGACTGAAAAAGAGAGAGCGTCTAAATGTCTGTAAAAGGACTCATGTCAGCTCAGTCCTTTAAATTCAAAATTTAATATTCTTTATTTGTGGTATGACAATAATTTGTGTATATTTTCTATTTATGTGTATAATGGTCTTAAATAGGGCTTTTTTAAGAAAAATATTTGACCACTCTCGAACTGCCCATTGCGATACTGATACGTCAAAACGAAGTATCTGAAACTATTGCAAGTTCCTTGAAATACATATACATATGCCTATGTTTCTTCCATGTACGCGTTGTAGGGCCTCTCAGTTACAGTAGGCAACAATGCTTAGGAATAAACTTTTTCAAGAAAAAGTTTCGTCCAAAGCAAAGATAGTTGTAAACATTTCTTAGAACAAGATCTTTTTACAACGCTCAAAATTGAAATTGGGAAAAAGCAAATAGGTAGATGAAGAAAAAGTAGAAAATAGAAGAAGTAGAGTGAAAGAGGAGAAAAAGGTATGAGAAAGAAAAAAAAGAGGAGTGCAGAGTAAGGGAAAGTGAGAGACGAAGAAAGTGAGGATAGGTGCAGTAGGCGAGAAACGTGGTAAGGTGATAAAGCAGAATGCAGCAAGTAAGGAAGCCATCTACCGGGAAGATAAGATAGTAGAGCGGATGAGGTAGAGAGGTCGGTAAAGTAGATGCGAAAGATCATAAAGGATAGAAAGTAAAAAGGAGAGAGAGAGAGAGAGAGAGAGAGAGAGAGAGATTAGCAGACTCGAATGGAGGGGAGGGGAGAGAGTTAAGAGTTTGTAGGGGTTGGACTGATTAGGCAAATTAGGGGATAAAAGAGCAAAGAGAGGATGGGCAAAGAGGGCAAAGAGGTGGATAAAAGAGAGGAAGAAGAAGAAATATTTAAAAAGAATCGTCTGTTGGAGAGAACCCCAACCAAAGGAAAAAGAATAAAAGCAGAAATAGAAAGAGATGGAACAGAAAGGAATGAGTGAAAGGTAGAAATTAAAGAAATAATAAGAAAAGAGGAGAGGGAGATTCTTAGGGAAGAAGTTAAGCTAGCCATAAGGAAAGGGATAAGGGTGAGTATGGAAGGGATAAGAGATGTGTGATGGATAGTCTGGAAGAGAGTAAGAAGGATTTGTGAGAAGGGAGGTGTGGAAGCTATGAGGGCAGATAAAAATGGTTAGAGAAGAGATGGCTAAGGAAAAGGAAAGGATAAACAAGAAGATGGAAGAATTAAGTAAAAGAGGAAAGGAATTAGGAAGTATAGGGTAAAGAGTAAATTAGAAAAAAATAAAGAAAATGGGAACAGAATAGCAGGGGAAAGAGAATTATGCAGAAGATTAAGAAAAATGGAAATCAAGTAAGAGAAGAGAAACAGAGACGAAAGGAAAATGAATATAATTATTAGGGTATTAAAATAAAAGAAGGAGGGGATAGAAGGGAGGAGGGAAAAGGGACATTACAAGGAATTGAGAGTAATGATTCTGGAGAAAATATTGTGTGGAAGCAGAGATAGAAGAAAGAAAGATAATCCCGGAGACTCAAACAGGATTTAGGAGAGGAAGGGGGGCGAAGTAGAATATATTTGCGGTTAACTATTTAGTAAATAGAAAGGTAGCGTGGTAGGGTGATTTGTAGATTTTAAAGCGACTTTCGACAGTGTAGATAGTAACAAGATATGGGCAGCGATGAAGGAAAAAGAGATGAGTGACAGGTTAGTGAAAAGTGTCAAAGAAGTGTACATGGAGACAGCGGCGAAGGTGAGAATGGGATAGGAGACAGGAGAGAAATTCTGGTTAGGAAGAAGAGTAAGACAGGGTTGCGCAAAGCTCCAAAACTATTTGTACTATTGATAGCTGACAAGGATGGGAGAGTGAGGGAAAAGAAAAGTGGGTTATGGAGATATAAGGGAACAGGATTTACACTCTACAATACGCAGATATGGTGCTGCTCGCGAAGACAGAGGCAGGAATAGTGCTCATAAACAAGGAATTCAGAAAGTATGTGGAACAGAAGGGATTAGAAGTGAATAGAGAAAAGACTAAGGTTATCAAATTCGTCAGGAAAGAAGGAATGAAAAGAAAATTGAAGTAGGGGGGAGGAGAAGTAGAGAAAGTGGAAGAAATGGAATATTTTGGATATCGGTTTAAAAGAAATGGGTAAAAAGAGGAGGAAATAGAGGGAAGGTGAGTGCGGTGTGGGAAAAAGATATTTTAAGAATGATGTGAAGAGAAGAGTTTGATTATTATTAACCTTAATGTGGCCTGTGACAGCATATGGAGCAGAAGTGTGAGGATGGGCAGAGAGAGAAAGGATAGAATCGATGCAGGAAAAGTATTTAAGATGAGTAATGGGGAAGATTTAGAGAAGAATTGGAAAGAGAGAAAATGATGAAAAGAAGCGCAAGGGGAGGTCCTGGGAGTTTAAAGACAGATTGCGAGGAGGGGAAGAATGCAAAATAGCAAAAGAATGTTTTAAAGAGATAGAAGCAAGGACAAGAAGAGGAATGAAAAAATGGAAAAGGGGAAGAAGAAAGGAAGAAGTACATAGAGAGTAGAGGAAACAGAAAAATTCTAGAGGATGAGAGAAAGGAAACAAGAGAAGTGGAATGGGAAAAGATTGAGAAGAGGTAGGCGGAAATATAGGAGAATTAGAATTGGAGAAAAGCGAAAGAAGTGGAATAAAATAAGTGGTTTGTAAAGATAAGAGAAGGGCAAATACAGGAATATAAGAGCAAAGGATTGAAGGAATAAAAGATGGAGAAAACTGCAAAATTCAGATTAGGAAACAAAATGAAGGGAGGAAGGTATTGGAAAACAGAAGAGAATAGGAAATGCAGAGTATGTGGAGTAGGAATAGAGGCGTGGGGGCATATACTATGGTATTGTAGGGAATGGAAAGAAGAAGAAGAGAGTTTTATGAAGTGATTAAAAAAATTTTGGCAGGAGGTGGCAGCGGGGAGGAGTAGATTAAAAGTCTAGAGGAAGAAAGAAGTAGGTAGATTTAATACTAAAAATAAGATAATTTTAAGATAATTCTAATTTATAATAGCATAAAATAATAAGTAAGCAAAATAAGGAAACAGAAGTATTGGTAGAAGAAGGACGGAGGTGCCATGTAACTCGTATGGGATCATTAAATAAATTCTACTACTATTAGATATTATTTTAAGGATTATATCTTGGTAAAGAAACAATGAGAGTTTTGCTTAAAGCAAATTCACGTAGTAGCGATTTAATTTGTCACATTTGAGATAAGAATATAACGAAATAATTAATTATTTGAAACTGCTATCATTTCAAATAGATCGATGTTTTTATCATTTCCGAATAACAACAATGAGTGCATCAGTCCGAAATTAATTATTTCAAATAGTTATTTATTATTTTCATTTTAAATATTATAAAATTTGTCCAGATCCCTCGTGGACAAGATTGAAATTAAAATTGTTCACGAACCGTTATTCTTAGATGATCTATCTATCGAATGACTGGTTCATCGACTGTTCAAATCGGATGAAAGACAGTGGAAGCCCCCTTAAGCGCCTACACCTCCTAAAGATCAAAAATAATTTTTCAAAAATTTCTAAGTGATAATTGTTATTACCTTCCGATTTGTTTATACACAAGTATAAACACTTTATCTTTTAAATTCTACAAGTTTCATTCATAAAAACAAATATAAATAAATTCATTTAACAAGTATAAAGATGAAAATCGGAAATGCTTCTGAAATTGTAATGAATTAACATTTGCATGCACATAAATTTAAGACATACATTGAAACAAAGAAATGTGCCATTAATTTAAGCGTGAATTATTGGTCAAATGAATCGTCAAAAAACTAATTAGAAATTGAGTAGAAATGCTATAAGTAATTTTCAATAAGTTTTAGTATATTTAAATATTATTTTCAGGAAGCTACTATCATGGCTGATTGTCTCCAAATACTCAGCGCCATTGCGTTGGTATCCATTGCTGTCTATTATTACTTAACATCATCCTTCGATTTTTGGAAAAGTAGAGGTGTACCTGGACCTGAGCCAATACCTGTATTTGGCAATATAAAAGATGTTTTCTTCAGAAAAAAACATCTTGGCATCTATATAAAGCAGCTATATGAAAAATACAAAAATGAGCCTCTTATTGGAATCTTTCTAAGAGGAAGTCCTAATGTTGTCGTATGTGACATGGATCTCATTAAAGATGTTCTCATCAAAGATTTTTCTGTTTTCGATGATCGTGGAGTCGTTATTAATGAGAAGGTAGGCATAACCTTCTTAAATTTAATTTTTTACTAGAATATTTAGAAACGCATCTGGATATCAGACGTGTTCTACGTCTGAAGAAACATTACTCATACAGAAGGGAATTGTATTTAATTATATTTGGGAAAATTGTTGGGTAAATTACCTGCCTCTTTTTTTAATGTTATTAATAAAAATAATACACGTCTAAAATTGTTGGATGTAGAGTTCCCATGCAAAAATAGTCACTATCAATGCGATCTCTTAAAGCTGGCTCACAAGTCACCTTGTCCTTTGAAAGATGCGCAAGAATTTCTTTCACTACCTTGAATTCCCGCAATGCGATTTTATTAGAACCAGAAATAAAATAAAGAATAAATTCATCAACGGGAATACTTAATAATTTTCGACTTTATCAATCTTGCAACAGTGCACGGTTTACAGTCCGGAGGTTGACGAAAATATCTTGTAGACGTAGACAATCCAGTAATATACATATATCTACAGTTAGTCAAAAAAGTCTCCATATACATACCTTTTAAAATGGAATAACTTTTTTAAAACTACACTAAATGACTTGCACTTTTTTAGATGATAGCGATAATTTTAATAAAAATGCTGTTTATTCTTTTAAACAATTCCAATGGAATTTAAATGATTCCATGACCGAACAGAATTCAATGAATAATTTGCAAAGCTATTTCATTTATAAATAACCCCGTTAAAGAACGTAGGTTTTTTTAACGTTCACTTTAACTTCACTGATCACAGCACTTTCACTGCTCTTTCAAACATTGATCACTTGTTTAATAATAATTTTCTTATTATTCTGATTTTCCTGGGTTAGTATGTGTGGCCGTGAAAATCTGACATAAACGCTGAATGGGTTAAAATCGCCGTCCTCCTTGAGCGACATTAGATCAGCAGTGACATATTTTTGGATTATTCAGGGAAGGAATAAGTTTATATTTTTTATATAAACTTATGTTTTTCTCTTAAGTTATTTGAATTGAGTTTCGAAACATGGGTTCTCCAGAGGCTCTAAATGATCGATTGTTTCAGAACCAAAACGTTTCTGAGAATACTGCTTAAAAGATTGAAATATTCTATTCAATAGCCATATGCCCTTTATCTTCTGTGAGATGGTCAAAATCATAACTCAGCATGACTCTTTGAGATAGCACACCTAAATTTCTATTATGCGTTATTACAGGTGACACCGAGTCTTTTCAATAATTCTAGTTCGCGATCTTTTTTCGATTGAAATAGTCTATTATGATTTTAAAAAGATATAGCTAAGATTGATACACACACACACAAGGTAAAATAGATTCGGCCATTGAATGAAACTATTCAAACATTTTTGTCCGAAACAGTGATTTCAAGAATACTTTTCTTCTGAGATAATCAGCTGTTACGAGACTCGTACAATTGTCATAGAAGAAATATAAATCCATTAAAAAGGACCATGCTGACTTTGATATGACCTTGATCATTACATAGAATGAAATTTGGTACATCCACATCTTTGCTAGGACATTTATTTACAAAATGATTTCTTCCTTGGTGTTTACATTTCCCCATACAGCTGTTCCACTGTAGCAGCTAGTAAGGGGGGAATGTAAGCACAAAGGTGTGAAAAGGTGTACTCGCAGCATATATTGAAAATAAAAGATCTCAATAATATCATGGCTATAGGTGGAACCATTATCGCAAAACATCTTCAGTTTAGAAGCAAAGAGATGGCGGCCACTACGAACAAGGCTCTCGCCAGTTTTTACATCTGGAAAACTCAAGGAAATGTTTCACTTGATAATGGAATGCTCCGAGCAATTAGAGAAATATTTAGAGAAACTAGAAGAAAAAGGGCAGCCAATAGAGTGCCGCGAAGTAGCAGCAAAATTCACGACTGACGTCATCGGTAGTTGTGCTTTTGGGATCAACATGAACTCAATATCCGATGAAGAAAGTGAATTTCGACGAATGGGAAAGACGGTTTTCTCAACATCGCTATTAAATATCTTAAAGGTGACATTCCGAGAAAGTCTGCCGAAATTATACTTCTTTATTATGTCTCTACAACCGTATCCGAAATTTACTTCATTTTTCATTCGAGTTATATCGGACACTATCAAGTACAGAGAAGAAAATAACGTGATTAGGCCAGATTTCGTGAACATGCTGATAGAGTTAAAGAACCACCCAGAGAAGTTACAAGATATTGGTAAGTTTTTATTTTCATTACAACTGTTATATGTATGTATTTATGCTTGCATGGAACTATGTGTATACGCCATGTTTTTTTAAAAACTGAGTTTACGTCTTGACCAGCAAGAAAAATTATCCACATGAGATTACCATGTCAAAGGATTTAAGATAACCTACAAAACTGAATAATATGCAAAGTGAATAATTTAATCATCTAAACACCGAACTGTTATTATTACATAAGAGACGCATTTTGGACTGACATTGTCTGGTGTCAAGCCATGTGTACAATATGTAATGTTCAGCTTCTTAATATATCGTTTTTTATCGAGAAACGGGATTTTTGTAACGTAGGGTGTATCATGAGGTGTGATATTTGAACTTGCGATTGGAAAGCGTACAGAATACTGACCGCATATAATACTGTTAACGTATACAAAATGTTAGTTTTTGCAATAACTGAACTGTAGAATACAGGATGTTTTATATTTTGGTTAGATCATTCATACTTAAACAGAACTCTCAGTCCTACAGCCATGTTTCAAGTTGCTATGTCTTGGTCAAGGATAATTATAATGAAAAGTTATGAAAATATTAATGACTTTTCTATGGGCACAACACTTACAATATTTTCAGAAATTTTCATTACAAAATTAATTTTTTTAAAAATCGGGAAAATGAAAAATGCTGTTTTCATTATACAAAGAAGCTATCATTGCATCACATTTATATCTTTACAATAGTAATGTTTTATTATAGTTATAAACGTGTAATTTTTTAGAATTTTTGAAGGGCGCACACTTGTTCAAGAATCTCAAAAACCATCGAAAATACGAAACAAAGCATTATTTAAATTGAAGTTTGTAAGATACAGGTTTTATATTATTTTGTAAGTAAGATGTTGTTACATACGGAGAGGTCGACAAGGTCAGTCGATTGTCATTTCGACGAGTCATCTGCGAGTTCACAATTCCGTGTACAGAATACAACAATTCGGGGAATGAATATATGAATATATGCATATATGACTATATGAATATATAAATATATAATATATATTAAAATATCAATTTAATTTCTCTTTTCATCAACGAAGTATTCCTCTCCGTGCTGCATTTTCATTCAGTACTGATTTGGTTAGTTTATTCTTCTTGACAAGATTAAATGTCTCGAAAATTTCAATCTCTCTACTTTTTATACAGAAAATACTTTCCTTACACCTTACCTATTATAATACCTATATTACCTATTATAATGTACCCACTATAAGTGGGTACCTAGAAAATTGGAGGAGGTCATACTGACATATATCCCATCACAGACGTGTGGGGGTATACACAGGATTCATTGTAGTGGTAGTAAAAGTTTTTCATTGAAATCTCAGAAACTTCAAAATTGCATGAAACTAAAATTTTATATTTCGTGTCCTCCGCTTCCCTGCATCTCCTCTAAATACTTGTCTTTGACGACTGCAGAATCCCAGCAGAAGTTTATGCGAGTAGTAAATAACAAATGATTTAATAGCTTCATCTGAATTCAAATAAATAGCCGATGATCTATTTCAGAAATAACGGACAACTTGTTGACTGCGCAAGCGATGGTCTTCTTTGCAGCTGGCTTCGAAACATCGTCGACTACTATCTGTCACGCTCTTTATGAAATGGCGCTGAATCCGCAGATACAAGATAAATTGCGTGTGGAAATTAAAGAGTTTAGTACAAAGAACAATAGCTCCTTCAAGTATGATGATGTAAAAGAAATGAAATATTTAGACAAAATTTTCAAAGGTACGAATACACATACATTTATTGATAATATAAATATTAGATTGTTGCATAATTTCGGTTATATTTTCGGATAAACTACCAGAACATTGCGAACAATTCAGACATTTTTTTGGCCACCCAGAAGTCTAGATCTTAATTCTCTTGGACTTCAGATTAATTTCACATATCATTTTCAATGAAAGAGGAAAAAAATAAATTTTTGGTAATTTTTTTAAGAATAATTCATGCTATATTAGGAATTGGTTTCTCAGGTTTTATTGTATGTGCCCACCATATGTTTACAGTAGGCCTAGATGTTGTTATTCGAGCTTATTTTACATCAGCAACAATAATTATTGCTGGTCCAACTGGAATTAAAGTTTTTAGTTGATTAGCTATTTATTGCGAATCAAAAATTTATATAAACCCCTCGATTACTTGATCATTAGGATTCATTTCCTTATTTACAATAGGAGGTTTAACAGGTATTATACTTTTCAATTCATCTATTGATATTATTCTTCATGATACATATTATGTTATTAGTCACTTCCATTATGTTTTATCTATAGGGGCAGTCTTTGCTATTATTGCTGGATTAGTTCACTAATCCCCAATTTTTACCGGATTAACTCTAAACAAAAAACTATTAAAATTGCAA